AAAAAAAAAAAAAAAAAAAAACTTTTGTCGGTGTATTTTTTCCATTATTATTCACTAAAACCCCCATAATTTCACAAATCACAATATATTCCACTCACCCAAATTAGTGATTTATTCAGTTTATTTTTTTTTTAATTTATAAATAGATAATCGCACAAAATTATAATTAATCGGAGAGAAAAAAAAAAATTGAATTAAATAATTATTGAAAAAAAAATTATTAATTTGGCGTTATTTTTGGTTCGCGAAGACCTCTATACCAGAATCGATAAGCACCAACAAATGCCCTAATTTGCGGGGAAAAGGTTTCATTATTTTTGTGTGCGTGTATGTTTTTTGTTTCAGTATAACTGTCTTGGGTTAGATTTTTTATTTTATTTTTTTTTTTATTTTTATTTTCTCTCATCTGTGTTTATTTAATTTTCTTGAACAAATATTGGGTGCTGGAAAGAGAGATGGCAGAGCATGTTTTGAGTTTGGACCAAGAAAACGAGCACGAGATCGACGATGGACGAGAAAAGCAAGAAACCGAAGAGGACAGGCCGAATTCGGACAACACGTTTCCTTTCGCCGGGCTCAATCTCGTCTTGATCTTGTCCTTCCTCTCGCTATCATCCGAAGAATGTTCGAATCTGGACGAGTCGATCCAAGAGACAAAAGTACAACATCTTGAGCACAAATCAAAACCCGGGTCTTGTTTACTTACGAGAAGGCGAGAAATCAGCCACATTCGAGCCCTCGGTAGGCAGTCGTCAAAGGTGCACACAAAGATCAGGGACTTGAGGTAAAACTTTTTTTCTTCTCACCATAATAATTGAGTTGTAAGATCAGCTATAAGTTATAAGCTATAAGCTCGAAAATCTCTTATAAGATATAAGCTAGCTTATCAACTAGTTTTACCAAACATAGCCTAAAATACATGACACTCTTTAAATGAATTTATTCAGTCATGGATTTGATTTGGTATGATCTTGTGCAGGCATTGTAGAAGAATGTGAATTGTGTATCGCAGTGGAAAGCGCGGAACATCCATCCGATCATTGCCGTAGACGAAAAGAAACGCAGCTTTAGTAAAACTCGATTAAGCTATTGTGAGATAGCTTAAAGAAGATGGAAAATGAGAGTCACTTTTAGTAAAAGTGATGACTTCTATAGGCCATGATTCCATCTGTGTATAACACAACACATATTTACCAGAGGTAGTTCAGTTCTCTATTACACACACATAAAAAAAAAAAAAAAATACGTTTTGTGCCACTTATAAAAGGTCGTGTATGTATGTAAGTGTAACTTTTAGTATCAATAAAATCCTTAGTTTTTGAAAATATGTGTGATTTTATTATCACTTGGTAAATTACTAAGGCATGTAAATAAAACAAACAAGACGATAGTAAAACAAATAAATAAGACAATCCCTGAAAATTGGGAGGTTTTATCCATGAACAATGCAATAGTCGTGCCTGTATACATGCATAAGCTACTTCTCAACAAGCAACCAAAAAAAAAAAAAAACTATTGTTTTTTGCATTATTCCTCGGTTATTACTCGTACGGAAGCATTTCTTCCGAGCAGCTAAATTAATAAACCAGCATAAAAAACAGCCATGGCAAAACATGTACAGAGGTTACAGATTAATGGTCCCCAACTCCACTGCAAAATAGAATACTACGATTTATCTGTTTTCCTCTTGCCGCCCGCCAAAGTAAAAAAAAAAAAATCACACAGAATCGCGCACTAACAGTGACAGCTTGATAGGACATCAGTCAGAAATTCTGATCTCAACACCGAGCAACTCTTTCACTTGTTCGTACGTTACGAAAGCAATGGCTATTGACGGGACAACCTGAATAAGGGGAAAAACACAAACGCCAATCGTCAGTACAAATAAACTCCAACATCAAAATAAATAAACTGCGATTTGTAGACATATTAGCACTTTGTTCCCTTGAAGTCCCCTATCAATAATGCTCTTTACATAATATGACAAAGCATAAAAACCATAAATATACTAGAAGGGAAATATCAACATATTTAAATAAAATCCCAATGGTGTAGTCATTTGTGACCACCACCCTCCGCTTCCATATTGACATTCCTTTATCAAATATTCCTCTATTCACAAGGGTTTTTTTTTTTATGGTAAAAAATGCATTCATTTCGGTTATTTACTCAAAAAGAAAACAAAGAAGTGAATTGTAAAACAGAAACTGAATGACTTGCAATAATACCAACTTCAAGGTTATATTATGCAATTAAACCAAGAAATATTACACACACACTAATATCAGATGCATAAAACAACTATACAAACGAGACTAACCTTCACCGAATTGGGGACCAATCCCTTGTATAATGCCCTGAAGCCCTCGTGCCTTACAGTCTTCCTGAAAGCATCAACCATCCCAGTGTATTCAAGTGGGACCTTTCCTCTACCATCACCCGTCACAATTGATGCCGCATTACTCCAACCGACCATCTGCATTCTCCTACGGATGACATCAAGCGGGTAAGCAACGGTCTGCCCGACTGTGCCTGCTGCGGCCCCACAGGCGAGCCTTGTCACAACACCCAACTCATTATCTTCAACAAGACCAAACGTCTTGGATTTGATTAACCAATCTTTGAGAGATTCATATACGGCAAAGTTAAGACCCACGTAAGGTACCTGCAAAAAAATGAAAGAGCTTGTGTTGGTATTGCCAAGCAGATGCTAAGTAGCAGTCACACCCCGCAGTGGAGTGTCTTTTCATTTCTTTTACAGGAGTTTGAAAGAACACTTGAATATGCTTTGTAAATGATGAAAACTTTCCGTAATATAAAGATATGGCCACATTGTAAGATGTATGAAATTCTACAACTCACAACTCCAATCACAGATGGAAGCCAGCCCTTGTACAGAGCACGGAAGCCTTCCTCGCGAAGCACTGTGGATAAAGCATGAAACATTCCTCTGTACTGATACGGGGACCTATCCGTCTGCAGAAAATTGAGATGGTCATTAGGTCGACTAAGAGAGTAAAAGCTCGTTTCACGAGGCCTGTAGTACCTGCACAGTAAGTCTTCCCCGAACCATGTCCATTGGGTATGTAGCAGACATAGCAATAATCCCAGCACAAGCTCCCGCTCCCAGACGTAATAAAGGAGTTAGCTGAGCATCCTCTACAAAACCGAAATGCAACAGAAAACAAAAGGAATACTCAAGACTCTAACAATCCAAGTAACACCTGATTACAAAAGAAAAATACTAGGAAGTTTCTTTGTTGGAGAGGGGGCAGAAGAAACAAAAGGCATACCATTGCCAGTTTGTCGCTGGTACAAGTACAATATGCCCCTGTTACAACAACAACAACCAAAAA